GTGTGTGTGTGTGTGTGTGTGTGTCTGCAATGTGGTTTGGGAAACTGAAAAAAAAAATCTGTTTTTCTTTAGTTTTCTCTTCATTTCTGACCAAACACCCTTTTGATCACAACACACAAAAAACAATTCAATAAGCCATTACACGAGCATTGATCTTTTTATCACCCAAACATTTGCATTAGAAAAGGGAAAGTCGGTGAGATGGTATTCGTTTTCGTTTTCGTGAAGGAGCCGTGGATAGTGGTGCCTGGATTTATTGAGTTTGGCAGCTCTTTAACACTTTAACGCTCCTCAGAATGTGTCCGATCAATGCTCCCACCCCTCCCGGCGTGTTTGCTGCTGAAGAGTCACGCCGTTTCGCTTATCTGATGTCATTGTAAATCACTCAGAAGGAGGGTAGGTCAGGGGGGACGGTGCTGCCACGCTCGCACACACACCAAACCGAGCGGCTCTGCGATGGTGCAGAACTGTACAGAACCTCCCTCCGGTGTAAGCGTCTGCATCTTAAATAGAGATTTATAACAGAAGACGGGCTGTGACCTTTCACTTGTAATGTAGCGTAAAATGAGCTTCAGATTTACCAGAAGCGCGTCAGGAATAAGCTTCATTAACCTGAAGGGAAACAGTGTTGATGCCGGTATTAAACCTCACAGCTGAAACATTACAGACGAACCGCCTGAATACAGTTTAGATTAAGCGACCACCTGGATGAGCTGCTGTTTTAAATGCGCCGTAAGCTGATCTAAACACAGCCGACTGCAGATTTCCAGATTCTGCTGAGCAAAACATATTTAGGAAAACATTTTGGGAAGTTCTGTTTTAGGTACATACAAAATATCCTTGTATATTTATGCTCAAAATTAGAAAATGTGCTAAAAAGAGATACTTACAGATATATCTCTCAAAAATAATACAATATATTTTTTTCACTCATTTTAGAGAGTGAAATTTATGTATTAAAAAAATTCATCACACATAGAGAGAAATATTTCAACAATACCAATTCTTGTAATGATTAAGATGCTTATAATGTTGTTTCTGGTTCAGGAGTGATTTGACTTTAGGAATGATTATCCCTGTGCACTTTTTCCTTCCACTCAACTTTCTATCAATATGTTTGGATACAGCAGCTGCATCAGCTCTGACCTTTTGTGATTTATGTGATGTGGAGGCTGTCAGTTCCTGCCTTCTGGACATCTGACCCAGACTGAGGGACCATTTAGAGGCTCAGGAAACCTTTGAGATAATTTGCTGATGAGGGTGTGACACAAAATGTTTCTCTTTTTAATTTTCTGACACATTGAATGTTGGGTTTTTATCATCTGTTGGCTCATTACCATCAAATTGCAATTGTGTGCTTCGTTATCTGAAATACTTGACTAAAATAAATCTTTTAAAAGTATTTGAGATGTACCTGTGCATACTCCGTATGAAGAGACACAACATTAAAAAAGACTAAACTTTCTCATTTTAGGGTAGCTGGGATTAGCATTAATGTCTTGAGATGTTGAGACAGTATGAGACTGACACACTTTTACTCTTAACTTTACTTTAATCAGAACACCTAACTGCAGATCTTGCTTTAACTTTTAAGTTGCATGTTGTGTGTCATCCCATTTCGAAAAAAGGCACGTTTGTACAAATGTTAAAAAGGCCAAAATTAATCTGCCATCGCTACTGATGATGATCGAACTGTGTGTGAAGTATTATTAAAAGGTAAGGTCCCGGTTATGGACAGCAGAGTGAGGGACACACAGAGACTGACAGAAGCTGGACACTATTAAAGTGCCCTGCGTCAGGCTGAATATTACGCATTAAATCTGCCACAGTCCACAGAATAATGTGTTTCTCTCACACTTTACTTAAGCCTGTCAACATCCATCGCTGGTATTGATCCACCTGCTGGCATTTCTGGTTCTGCAGATCTGAACAGTTTTGTCAAAGTTCAGGAGTTATTACTTTGTAAAAATGCCTGTTACATTAGTTATTGTTGCATATAAAGTCACGCAGTGTTTTTATATGCAAAAAAAAAGACGTTTCTTTCTGGGAACGTGATGACGTCTAACCTTTTGCCCCACATGATCCCAGACGCTTTGAATTCTGTATTTTAAATCCCATTTAAGCTCAAAGCTCTAAGCACAAATGTTTTCTAACACCGTGATTTATTGCACAGTCAAACAGTGATGCTCCCTTCCTGAGTTTGAACAGCGGATTGTCAAACTCATTTTCATTTTGGTTCATAACGAGATCATGAATCCTCAAAGGACGAGATGATAAAATGACCCATTAACAAACTGTTAACATAGAAATTAATTGTTATCTCTGCATCTGATGAATGTTTGGCAGTAAATTAGACTTTGATTTAATTGATAAAATTAATTTTTAAGCACACAAATGTTGCTGAAGGTCCTTTTACGTGGCCCTCTAGAGTCAAGAGGACCACGTAAAAAAAATTATGCATTTAAATTTGACCATTTTGTTCCACAGAAAAATACACAAATTGCTCTGTGAAGCACTTTGGTCAACTAGGCAACTGAACATTTAATATTTTAGCAGTTTTGGCACCAATTCATTCCTGCATTAGGGATGTTTAATATCAACTAGAAATGAGATGCAGCACAAATACACAGTAACTAATAAATTATAAATGAGATCTATATTCATTTCAATGATGGTTTATGATCATAGCTTATTAATATCCAAACCACCAGGAGAAATAAAATAATTTGCAATGGTTAAGTACATTGAAACAAAATGGAAGCAGGTTGAGACACAAAACGGCATCACCACAAGAAGGGTTTCCCCTCTAAGTCCTTCAAGTTTTTAATGTTGCCAAAACAAGGAGCATCCTCTTTTGTCATCAAAATTTCTGAACACAAAATGTTGAGTATTCATCATAAAATGGCAGAATCAAGCAATGCTGACTGTCTATAATGACCACAGAAAATGTTACTCCGAGTTCTTTGACCGATTATCTGCAAAATCCAGAAAAGAAACATTGGAACAGCTGTGAAAAATGTAGATGAACAGAACACAAGAATCGGTGCTGGGCTGAGAGGGCGAACAAGGGAGCCAGAGGCAGGTGGAGTAAGCGACCATGAAATGGAAACAGAAAACAGAGCTTGGAGAGAGAGAGACAGAGAATTTGAGTATAGACTGATATCTGCAGCGGCCCAGCTGCGAGGCTTAAGGAGCTTAGCCCTCCTGCCCGTCACAGCAGACTCCTCAAGAGCAGCGTTCACTGCCGCTGAGCTACTGGGAGTAAAGTGAGGAGAGGAGAGGTGGGGTGGGAAGAGGTGGAGAAGATGATGGAGTGGGTTTAGAGCAAACCTACTCCATTTTAAACACCGAAGGAGAAAAACGAGTTGTGAGTTGTTTTGCATTCAGCATCAGTCAGCGAAGCTTAATTCAGGAATATTCGGGGCCATTTGTGGCCCTTGGACTGATTTATCTGTGTCAACCCCTACTGCAGGTCAAAAATGATACAGGTTTGTTCATTGAACGTTTTGTTTTTAATCAGGGTAAAATTATTACCAACTCAGTTTCCTTACAGTTGAAAATGCTACGAGCAACAGCACAAAATATTCATATTTTTACAATGAAACTTTTACAGTTCATTTATTCACAGAGTTTTACTGAAAAGCCGACATCTGCACCCAAATCGCCTTCTACTTGATTTATTAAATTTGGCTAAATAAAGCAAGTGCTTTGAAAGAAATGTGACCCAAACAGCGCAGATTAGAACCGCAGAGATTAAATCTGTTCAACTGAGTTTAAACAAAATTAGAAAACTACAAGCATTTATTTTAATATAGCAAATTCCTTTTTAAGTTTTGGCTCCGGTGGGAATAAAAAAAAAAAATAACAATAATACTGTAATTTGTAATTTTTTATTCTTGGTCCATGAGTCCTTTTGACTTGAGTTTTGCTCGTGTGGCAAAAGTTTCTTTTGGAAACAAATGGGATGATTTAGACAGGAAATGAACAAAAGTACTTTTCCATACTCTTGTTTTCTCTTTCCAGGATGATATACAGGGACTTAGATGTATTGATTTACATCATCTAAGCATGTAATGTTTTGCTTTCTTCTCTATCTACAACAGGAAGTGTAAACCGACCGGCGCCGGTCCCTGCCTTCCTCAGGAACCCACCTGTCCTCCCGCCGCCTCTGGACATGAAGCCTTTCCTCCAGTTTCCCCTGGAGTCGCCTCATCCGGCCGGCATCGGCCTCTTCCACAACTTTAACGCCGTGAGTTCTCACACTCCAGCATGTGGACACAGTGATGTGTCTTTGAATCACTACCATTTACCTCCAAAGGCGAGAATAGACGAGCATTTAAAGTTTGGATGTTGATAAAATGGACAGGAACAACTTCTGGTACTTTTGATCAAAATTGAAATTACTTTTGCAATATTTATAGAGGAAAACACACAAATTGCTATTAGGAGACTATGAGATAAAACAATAAACCACCCAATTAACACTATAAATATGCTCCTGGTTGCCTACTACAAATAATTTGGGTTTGTTTTATTAAAGGCTCCGTTCACATCAGCTCTACCGTGGACTGAATGTAATCGTGTTTTCATGAAGAAAATCTGAACGCCAGTTCAGAGACAAGCACAGAACAAGACAGACATTTTAAAACAATTATTCAGACTTTTTGTACATCAACAGTTCCAGGAAAACTTAAGAGTCCACTGCACTGAACCCCATTAAAAACCTCCTGGTTATTCCTCCAAATGTTGATTTCTGAACTCTTCCTCAGTTAAAACATCAGTTTTGTTGTTTCTAAATAAACATGAACTTGTTTTATTTGCATCATTTGAGGTTTGAAAGCTCTGCATCATTTTAGTTATTTTTGACCAATTTTCATTTTCTGCAAATAAATACTAAGTTTTTGCTGGGAAGTTCAGAGACATGTTGTCAGTCAATGTTCATTTTACTCAGACATTTACATATAAAAAGTAACATCAGAGAACTGATCATTTTAAGTGCTCTCTTAGTTTTTTCCAGAGCTGTAAAAAAGAGATACCAATAATGCAAACAAAACCCAGATGCTCCCGTTTAAATACCATCTAATTGTCAAATCAAATTTGGTGTCAGTTTTGATATTTTGATTTATGGCTCTCCACCAGGGCGTCATTCTATTCATTAAAGGGAAGCAGAAACGTCTATCATGCATTTAAATGTTCATTTCACAGCACACACCTTTTCATTTGCTTTTTTAAAAATTACAAGTCAAGTCTTGGATTTGGGAATGACATTAAGAGTTCAACATGTTGAAAAACCACTGGGAGATGCTAATTGTTGTAGCGCTAACAAAGTTCAAAATAACCCATCTTTCACCATTTTACGATTTTAAACGCTCGACAAATTCATTCACAAATAGAGATGGTGCATTACTATGTCTACCTCTGTCTACCATAAGCTTTGAGAACATTAGCTTGTACAGTTCAGATATCATGACAGTAAAGTTGGTCTCAGCGATTAGAAGGAATGTGGCATTTTGGAGCATCTCCAGTTCAACATCTGAAATATTTAGAGTGAACTGGAGTACTCTAGACTGAACAGAGGTTTTTTACACAGTGTGGAGACAAAAAGGAGAATTATTCATTCTTATTTTACATCAATATGACCAGCTTAGACTGCAACATAAAGACCCGAATGAACTACACTGATCGCAGATTCTGTAACACCTGAACCCAGAGTACAGTTCAGACAAAAACTGAGCATCATTTACGCCCTTCAGCAATAACCTAATACAACATCCTCTGTTATTTCTGCACCAAATTGGAGAAAATGCTGATGCATCTACTGATATTATAGAAACACTAATTTGGTGTCTCTGATTTTCTGTGGTCATGCATTGACACAGAAATCTCAATAAATCTCTATGTTACAGACAGACATATGTTGAAATACATACATATATAACAAGAAGTGAAGGATACTGGATTTTAGATGCCCGAGAAGGTAACAATGAGGTTTATAGGTTTTAGGTTTATAATCCAGTCCAATAATTGATATTATCCAACTTTGTCACATATTTGGGCTTGAAGAAATCCTTCCTGTCTTCAAGAGACTCAACGTAGATACAACAGCTGAAAGCTCTCAGCTTTACATCAGTATAGGCTGAACCAGCGACGTCTTAGAAATACCATCTCACTCCTGGCAACCAAAACGTCAGACTTAGAGAGATTTGTTGGCTGAGGTCATCTGACTTACACACATCCCAAAAACACTAACTTGTAACTTTGCCAATGTTCCAGACTTTAGGTCATTTTTTTCACAAGCGATAATTAGACAAGTTTATGGAATAATATTAGTTCCTAGCCATGTGGTTGAATTCAGAGTATGAGATTCCTGCTTTGGGCCGGCAGTAAAAGGCCCCCCAGAGATGCAGTAATTGCTTCTAGCATTCCCTTGTCCCTCTGCACTTAGGTTAAAATATGTACAGTGAGTCTGTCCCTGTCTGTTTGTGTCATTAACTCTGCACTTGCTCTGCAGGGCAAACTTCCTAGAGGTGGTTGCACGATTTACAGTTTAGTCCATTGTTTGTGTTTGTGTTTTATTTATACCAAGGCGGATTTTTCCCAGCAGGACAATAAAGCCCATCTTATCTTATTGTACATTGTGTCATCTGAAATGATGGGGGTGACAGCTGTTTTTCTATTCAGCACAGCTGGTTTCAGCGTGATTGAAAAGAAGCACAGCCGAGTGGTTTGCTGCAATAAAATGAGTTACAGCTAATCAATCGAATAAGAGGCACAGGCTGTGTTCTCCGCAGTCAGCATTTTCTGCGGCTCCTTTTCATTTCCAGATTGGGTTTCATGTGAAGGTCAAGCTGGTCGCAAACAGAGATGCATAAACACAATATCAGTGTTCTCATCTGCATGCACTCAGACAGACCGACCCCTGCAAAGCTTTGTGATTCATCCCGCTTCGTTGACGACATTTAGGGTGACCACTGGCGTCAAAGCGCCTTAATTCAAGTCACTCTCTCTTTGTGCTGGGAACATTTACTACAAAGTCTATGATTTTGTCGTCCTCAGCTACATATTTAAATCGTAGCATCTAGCCTGAGGTTTGGCTTTAGAGGTTACAGAGAATACTTGGTGTTTGTATGGAGACAAACGTAAAGTTTTTCTGTTCTTTTTGAAATCATCAGCTGGAAAGTCTGCAGTCTCGAAACAATTGTATCAAATTAACTTAAGACAAAAAAAAACAATTTATTACAAATTTCATAAAAACGATTTACCAGTTTCACTGTTCATTAGGGCTGCAGCGATACACTAATCTCACAATACAAGACGACACATGAAATTATGTTCACGATACAATATATATCACAATATTCAGTAAATGATACAATTAGATACATTTTTAGGATTTTCTGAAAGATTTTAGAGGGACGGAGGGATTTTGGTGACATTTTGTGTCTCTTTCATAGACTTGGATTAAATTAATTGAACTGATGGTGTAATAAATGTTTTGTTCAAATGTTAATTGTGTGGCTTTGTGTATCTGATTATGCAGAAAGGGAACATTTTTGTCTTATTCACTTATATTAGAGAAAGTAACTTATCTATTTCATTATTAAATTAATTGTAAGTGGTTGTTTTGTAACATGTAATTTTTAATCTACATGTGCAACTGGGTAAAAAGTGTCATGTGTGATAGCTCTCATTTAATTCATGTGGATTTGACATAAAACTGAAAACAGGACTTAATTTATCAATACTCACCGATGAAAAATCGATAATTACATATCGATAAACATCATAGAATCGATAAAATTACACAGCCCTACTGTTCACTATAAATTTTACGCTCATGATCTTTAACATTAATGCACTGATCAATAAAGACTGTTTCTTATCTTCATATTTTCTTCTTGAATCATGACAGAATGTCATTTCCTTTGATCTGTTTGTGATGTAGAAATAAACTTAAACTGTCATTAAAACACACACAGATGAATGTAACTAAATACTCTTATTTTAGCTTCTACTAAAGAGGAAACTGACTTTCTTATGTCATCCTCACAAAAGGAGTTTCGTTACTTCAATTAGAAAGCAACCAATCTCAAGATGACACAAAGAAAATCTAATCCTAAACTGTGACATTTTTTGATGATCTCACAAACTGAATTTCTCTAGAGTTTTTCCTTAAGAGATCAAAGAGGAGAATAAGGCAAAATGCCAAAAGTCTGGATCGTTACCTGAAGAGCAGACTGAGGATGACTAAATCTTTAATGCGCCAATGCAGTAAATGAGTTCAGTCTTACTTAATTTAGGATTTACAACAATTAAAACTAAGTAATGTCAACCAATCCAAGCGCCGCGTAGTGAAAAATGCGATACGAAGCAAACAGGACAGAGTGCAGGTGGAACAAAAGCTCCAGTGTATGAGAGAGTGAAAGAGGAGACAGGGAGTAGATAAAATAAGTTAATGAGGTCGTAACAGTGGGGACAGGTGTACAGATGGAGATCCTGACGAGAACAGGTGGCCAAAGAAGTGCAGCGAGAAGATGCAATGCGGGAAACATCAATCAGACTGTGGATTAAAGTAAGAAACAGAGTATGTGTCTCATTGTTCCGCGCTCGCAGCTACAAAACCTGCATTAAAAACATGAATGCAGCAGCAGTTTCTTAGAGTGAATTTAACTCTTTGGTGCAGATGGACATGGTTGCTTCGTCCCCACAGTGGAACAGGCAGCAGCCTGTTGTTTGGGTAAACACTTGAACGAATGGTCTTGTAAAATTACTATTCATGGATGCTCAATGTTCAGTCTGATTTAGTTTGGCCCAGAGAAAAATGGGCAAAAACAGAGCAAAGCAGGTCTGCTCTGCATCCAGAGCCAGAACCAAACACGGAGAAGCAGCATCCAGCTTCTCTGTGCCTCTAATCTGAAAGAAACTTCCAGAAAACTGCAAAAGTGTTTTAAACACTGAATTCCTTTAAATCCTTTGTTTAGAGTTGCCTTTGATTAATAATAACTGGAACATCAATGATTTTGTCTGTAGTAACTTTTCTTTATTTTCCTTTACTGTCCCACAGCAATGTTCTTGTTTTTCCTTCTTATGTTTTTCTCCTGTGAATCACTGAGTTGCTGCTACTCAGCTACACGAATTAACAGCCTTCCATAAATAACACAACTACTTCTATAGACACCGTGAAGGTATCTGCAGTTTATTGAACCAACGTTCAGGATTTCAGACCAATTACAGAGCTCCCGATGCCGCCCGAGGCTTCGTGGTGTAAACGATCTAATATAGCAACATGCATTCAGCGTGAGCCGGAGATGATAGGCTGAGTAAAACCTCAGTGTACTGTTGGCTGTTTAACCAAGGCAACACCCAGATCTGTGGTTGTTCAAACCCCACCAACAGGTCAGGGCGCTCATACGAGTCGGCTGGAAAAGAATAGCAGGAAAACCCTTCAATGAAAAGAACAGGCCACATGTATGCGCTTCATTTAGAAATGACTGGGTTAGGCGCTGTAATTTTAGGTTATAGCACAATGTTTTAAATATGGAATGTATTAAAAAAAACGTGCATGTCTTTTTCTGTGGGTTTTTTTTTTCATTCCACTGTTGATTTTTTTTTGCACTTTCTATCCACTTTTTTCATAATTCCAGTCACAAAGTTGCATTTTATTTTGAATTTTTTTTTTAACAAAAATTCACACGTGTTGTGTGCTCTATTTGTATCTTTGTATTTTTATGATGCAAAGCTCTTTGAAATGCTTCCTTGCTGAAATTTGCTATACAAATACAATGAGTTTTTGACAATAAAATGAAAACTAAATGTTTGGTACATGAATCAATATCACCAAGAACTGTTGGGGGTTGTAATCAGGGCTCTCTGACCCTGATGTGAATGAAAAAGATTGCTGACATTAAATCACTGATTGATCTCCAGCTCTCTGTTAGACCTGCTTTCCTCCTCTGCTGCTTCCCCCGTCGTTCACCTTCACTCTTTCAACTCCCGTCCACATTTCCTCAGTGGAAAGCCTTATGTGCTCTATAGGAGGGATGAATGACGCCGTCTGAATTTGCCGTGTGCTGCTGAATGTTTGATGCGACCTCTGGCTCGTCTCTCCTCAGATGGACCCGGTCCAGAAGGCTGTGATGACGCATACCTTCGGGCCGCCTATTGTGAAAACAAAGAGGCCGATAATCTCCTGCAACGTTTGTCAAATACGCTTCAACTCAGAGGTATGAAAGCTCGCACTCTCCGCAAAACCTTGCAGACGTATTCACACTCTTTCAGCTTTTCTAACTTTGTCACAATAAAACCACAAACTTATGTTTAATAATGATTTTATCTGATAGACCAAGCCAAAGTAGTGGGTAATTTTTTGTTATCTTGTATGTAAAAGAAAAACTATGAAATGTATTTGCACTCAGACGCTCCTCAGTAAACAAACAAACAAACAAAAAATAAACCTGCAGAACTTTTGACTGCATCTCTATCACATCTAGGGACTGAAACTTTAAACCACTCTCATTTGCAAAATAGCTGAAGCTACATTCGATTGGATTCCCTTAAATTCAACTCTTGCCTGTTTTGGATTTAGTTCTGGACTTTGATAAAAACTTTCCCATTAAGGCTCTGGCTGTGTGTTCAGCGTTCTTGCTATGTTGGAAGGTTTTTTGTTGACTTTAATAACTTTATTTCAGAGGTTTGTTGAAGAAAAGCATTCTCACACCATTGTCCTCCATGTTTTACCTCATGGGTGGTTGGACGACTAGGATTCATTGTGACACAAACAGTATTTTGCAAAATATTACGTTTTAATGATGCCCTTAAAATATTGGGGCTATATTTAGTTGTGTGCTATGTTTGTTGTTTGCTTTTGCTCACCAAATGCTTGGCTGACTTCAGATTTCTGAGGACGTCAGGCTGAGAGTTTGGAATAATTAATAATATTCAGATGGCATTGCTGCTTGAAAAAGAGAAGTTGTTTTCAAAATAAACATTACGTCACATTTGTAAAGGGCTGAAAAATCATAATTAAAACAATCTCACAGAAGTTCTGAAATCATTTGCATTTAGAGAAAAACAGGATGATAAGAGTTTATCCTGTATGGAACAATGATTCAATGCATTCAGTTTAATTTTTAGTAGTCAAGATGCTTATTTTTTTGAAAACGGTTAGCCGAAGGAAGAAGGATTGCTGAACATCCACCGGTGGACCATCATGTACCGATATTTTTCCAAATCCTTAGGGTCACTGCACCAGAGCTTTGTTTATTTAAACGTTGACCTAAAGCATAAATTCTCAGAATCCTGTGTTGGTCGCTGACTGACAGCACAGCCGGGGAAAGTGAAAAGTCTTTCTCGGTTCTAATTTTAGCTTGTTGCGTTGGGGACAGAAATCCCTGCTTGCTTAACTTACGCCAGCGTCAGGGAGAGCGTTTCCTTTGGCCGACAAGTGGCATCAGCATGTAATGTAGAGAGAGATGGAGTCAGGCAAACAAGGAACTGATTGGTTTTACATATTTCAGAGGCTCTACATTAGAATACCTCCAGTGGCTCTTGACTTCAGGAACATTTCCTAAAGAGTTCATTGCAAACGTGTGAATATGACAGTACTGGTTTGTGGGGCGTTATGATGGGATTTTAATGGACTGTAAGATGTTTGAGGGTTGGTGAGAAGCAGGAGGAGGAACCACAGCTCGTCCTCCAGGTCACCCCGGTGCTGATCAGGCACGTTTTCTGCCTTTCAGTTTTGACAGGCAGGGCTTTGCTAACACGGTGCAGAGGCACTGAAACTAAAGAGGCCTGAAGTCATGAAACTTTAGATGAAAGATCCGAGTGTCCCCATTAAGGAGGCAGCAGCGTTAACTGAAGATGAAAAGCAAATAACTCGTAACGCAAGGCTCCAAATCCTACTGCTTGACATGACTGACATGAGCTGAGTCCACTGGACTGTTTATAGAGCGTAACGTTAGTGGTCACACGTAAACAGGGGAAGCTTCGTGTTTTTCACTGCACTTCTTTACATGATGAAAACTGATTTTGTAAAAACAAATTCCTGATTAGCACAGAACTTTTGATCAAGGTGTCCATGTTTCTTTCAGAAGACAGTACTGTAATTTAGCATGTTCTAAAGATCTGCACGTGACAGTACCTTCAAAGGGGGCCTGTGACATTTTGCATGTTTTTATACTTTCGATTGGGTTTCAACTGCTTCTAAAAACAACTCAAGTGCTTAAAATCAACACTCAGTCATTTTTAGGCAATAAGTTATATCTGGAAAATAATTTTCTTTTCAAAAACTTCCCTGTTGTTAAGTAACAATCGACAGTTGCCGTTACCTAGCAACCCCAGCTGAGCCCCGCCTGTCTCCTAGCAAACCAAGCTGAGCTCCAGGACATTTGATTAGCTGCATGGTTTTATCTCTGTACAATGGCTGTTGGAAAAGACAAGTGTTTTGTTGGTGACCTGCCATCCAGAAACATGACTGCATTCATGTTGGTTGTGCAGGAGGTTCTACTTCTGCTTTTCTAAGATGTACGGATGTTTAGTTGTGCATCTAATTGCAACTATTTTCATGTTGTGAGGGTAAACGTTGAGTTGAGGGTGTGGCCAGCTGCATCTTATTTTGATTTAAAGTAATAAAAGGTCCTAAAACATTTCATTATGAAATTTCACAAAAAAAATTGATGGACATGATTTGTTCATCCCTGAAATATATATAACTGATATAACTTGTTTAAGGAAGCATGATAAATCACTTTTAAGACCTATGAGGGGATAGTTCAGATTTTCCAAAGTGAGGTTCTGTTAAGAGCTTCTAAGCAGTAAGTATCTTACCTGCAGTAACTCTTTTAGGGTCTTTACTTAGATTAGATACAGATTTGTTGGCACCAAATGCAGAAGCATGCGGCTAGTCTGATTGGGGCCAAGACCAAAGTAGACTGATCAGTCTTAATACACAACTCCAGTTTCAAGAACAACATGGCGGTTTATCTAAACCTTATTTGTGAAACCATTACCACATTTGTATTTGGGGGTTCCCAGACTGCTGAAGCAAATAGGACAAAAGAAGCAAAGACAATTAAAAGATCACAAAAACAGATTCCCTCAACACCTTGGCTGAGAAGCAAAACATTTTAATCATCATAAGAGAGAGTTTTTTGTTCTCCATGTCATGGCTCTTTACCAAAAATACCACTAGAAGTAAGGTCAATGCTCTTCTGTCTTGGTTCGACAACTACAGCTTTAAGAGATGGAAACATCTTGTGTTTATTATTTGTTACAGTAACCTTTAACAGGAATCAGACACCTAATGTACAGCTTTGGCTGGAAATGGGACTCTTTTCTTGGGGTCAAGTGTGAAGAATTTGTCCTCCAAACCAGGGGTGCCCAGAGTCAGTCCCCGAGAGCCAGCATCCTGCATGTCTTAGTTCTCTGTCATGTCGGTATTTAGTTTTTGAACCCACATGCAAAAACACAATCAGGAGAGACAAATAAATGAATAATGAGTTTATTGATTCCAGGAGGGAAAAGGGTGAGTATACTGGAACAGCTGACCGGGTCGTCTTACTGTCAATGAAAGACAACAGATTAGTGGGGAAAGGTGAGCGATTTCCAGGAATGAGACGAACAGGTTCTTACTTGGTTTGAAGGCGAGTATGAATAAACAGAGCGCTGCATGAGAGGGTTTCGTTGGAGGGCGGACAAGTTTGTTTGAGGCGGAACGAGCGGAGTCCGACTTGGTCCACTTGTAACAAATCTCCAGATGGATTCGGGCTCAGACCGGTTGATCCTCTGGCGTCCCGAAGGGGAATCCACTGGAGACGGACTGACGATGGGGGAAAGGCGAACACACGAGGAGTGGCGTCCAGCTGGTAACACCAGTGGCGTCGAGGGAGGACACACGAGGAAGGTAACGCTTAACAACAGGAGTCATAAGCTCACTCAGAACCTCGGGGCAGACGGCACACTCGAGGACGACGAGGATACTGCAGGTTCACCTGGCGTGGAGAAACAACAAGGAGTTAGCTCGGAGCAAAACACAGAGGGCCTTTCTCTGGAACAATGTTTACCAAGGTAAGCAAACACTCAGGCGATGAGAAGTCCTTCAGCCGCTGCTTATATCCTCAGTCCATGTCCTCCAAACGAGCTGCAGGTGTGTCTACGGAGTTACCCCTGCAGCATCCCAGGGTCTCTGAGACCTGGCGGCATCTAGTGCATGCCATGGGAAATGGCAGGTACTTTGAAAAACAAAAACTAAAACCAACGAAAAGAAAAAACAAAAACAAAAACAGAAAAAACCCAGACCCTGACACTCCCTGGTTTAACGCACCTGGATCAAATGATGGCTCGTCAGAAGGCCTAAGAGGAACATTGACAAGCTGAAAAGGTTGTTAGTGCCACCATGGAGAGAACTGAAACGTGCAGGATGCCGGCCCTCGAGGACCGACTTTGGACACCCCCGGGGCTAAACTCAGTTGTGTGTGTAAAAGAGAGAGAGTCATGTGAAGCTTAGACCTGTTCTGTCCTTAAGGAGCCATCAATTATGTGTATCTCTTGTGCAGACCTGCATGTTCCCACATAATCTACAAGAATCTGGTGTTCTTGACAGGAGAGTACTTTTATTCACACCAGCATGTTTATATTTACATTCTTATCCATTGAGTTCACTTAGTACTCATGTATAAAACAGATCCTTGAGGGGGCTTCTTGATGGCCGCGTGTGAAGTCTTAAACCGGAGCACCTGTTCGTCCACGCCGCTCTCGTAACGCTGCGTGCAGCATCTGCTCTGCTGCAGCTCTACAGCTCCTTCCACAGTAACCTGAGAGACTGGGAACTTAAAGCACTGTGGACATTCTTTAATAATGAACGGACGTTCTGCTTTCAGTGCAGTTCTTGGCTTACTCACCGTGGTGGGTGTTTGCAGCAGTTTAAAAGCAGGCACCCGCCTTATTTTTCGTCATGGCGTTAAATATTCAATACAAAACACGGAGATATTTTTGAGTTTGAAGCATAAATAAATAACCAGAACTCACTTAGATGCTTAGGGCATAATTTAGCTTAAAACCCACTTTTCTTCTGACACAGGATGAGTCACACCAGGAAGGCGCGATGATGTTAACACTGCGTCACTAAAGACTGGAACCGCAAACAGATAACTGATTGTTTTCTAGACCTAAAAGTTATTTTTAAATGGGAATATATAAAATTGATGCATGTCTGTTTATTTTT